TTCTGGTGTTTCGTACAACTACAGTGCGATCGGCGATTAATTCGATCACAAAATATCCATTCCACGGATACTTAATCACGGTCACAGAAATTGTTTTTCGCGAAGTTTTCACGGAATATACATTGCGTAGATCAGCGGATGCGAAGTCACGCGGCGACATCAACCTGTCATGTGTGACAGCACGCTGGTACACACCGATTGATATATACCGACTATACACTGACGCACTCAGAAAACAACGCGTCACCCAGCGTATTCACCGTCGTCGTGATTCAACTATTGTGAACTATAGTCATCGCAAGGTGTGGGTGAAAAGCAGGGGTTGCGGGGAGGTCTGCTCTCCCCTCTCCTTCGTTAGTCGTACCGGTCGTTATACTTTTCTTTCGACATTCCGCGCTGTGGTCGGTAAAGAAGGTTTCTACTCTCTCGTATCATGAAGGTCAGGTCTGGTAGCTGCATCGTTGCATCGTGTTGCACATTCTGCATTTAAAATAAAATCGATGAATATATATAATTAGAAGACTAGAGAGGAAAAAAGAAAGGTTGAAAGAAAGTTTAACATAAATTATATTGCACATTTTCTTGAGACGTGATGTTTATCTTTTCTAACTCCTGCTTATTTTTATCTTGATTTCTAGTTTTTAATTAATTTTTATATTTCTTTTTTATGTAGAGATATTGTGCTCTTTGTATAATTTTCTTTCCTCTTTTTTATATGAAATATTGATTAATTGTTGTTTTTGGTGAATTATAATTCTTTCGCAAATAAATGTGGATTTTTCTTTTTCGTCTTTTTCCTTATTAAAATACATTATCATTTATTATTTTTTGACCTTCCTTTTAAATAATTTCATTTGTAATTATAGTTTTTCCATTTTTTTTTTTTTTTTTTATGTATTATTAGAGAGAAACCTTAAAAGGAATTAACATTCTTTTCCCGTTGCGTTTATTTTTCGTACTTGAAACAAAATTTTGAACAAAATAAAATAAATGATATTACAAAAAATTAATTAAATGAAATAGAACAAAATAAATACATATTAGAACATCGAAGAGGCAAAAGGAGTCGTGAAAGTATTAAAAAACGCAGAGACAAAAAAAGTATAATACAGAAAATATATACTATGAAATAAATTCTGAATAGATTTCTGGGGGTACAGAAAACGCCTTAAAAAAAAACGGACCTGCCACGTTGACACGCGGCAAGTGAGATGACAATGACAATGGAATTTTTAACGGACCACGGAGTCGTGAACAGTCCAGTTCAGTCCGGTCTCGTTTTTATACGGAAGTGAACTTGCATGCTTTCGAGCCGATACTGCCGTCGATACCGACAGTGATAATTGACGTCGTCGGCGTAATCGTCGTCAGGGGGGCCGATCCCTGTGGATCGAGGAGCGTAACTGTCGCCGTTGCTTGACAGAACCTAACAGAACCGAGGAAGATGGCCGATATGACGGAATCGCCGCCGTTGTTTGATAACGAGACAAAATTGGACGATCTGGAGGACGACGATGAGGATATCTTTGCGTCCGCGGTGCAGGTATCAACGTAGCTAACAATCCACCACGCCGGGAGTCGAAATTCCGCAAGAGAAGAAAAGAAAGAAAAAGATTGTAATCCCGAGCCCGCATACCGCGATGCTGCGAAAATGATCTGCGTTCGTAGTTGCATGATAATTGGCGTGAAATGTGTCTCTTTGACGCCCTTACGTCGTCGGAAGTTGAATTCGTTGAAATTATATCCATTTCATTCTGTCTGATCAAAACATTCTCTGCTGCAAAAAACTAGTACTTTGATCTCTTTATCTAAATTGATTCGATATAAACAATCTGTGAACCTTGCAGTTAAATTGCTTTCCATTTTCACAGTGATACTGAGTTTAAAGTTATGTATTTTATATTCAGATTATGACTTGCTTATTTTGGTGACAAAGTCATTCCATAATAATACAAGTTTATAACTAACTTTAAATGTGAATTAATAAGGTTCAGTAAAGCACATGATCTGGAGCTTGTATCCAGATTGTAGGTAAAAATTCAGTTGAATTTTACTTGTCAAAATGAAAAGGAATAGGCATTCAATTGAGTTATGATGTTACAAATTAGAATTATTTGAGTTTTATTAATTGGAATTATTTTAATGTAAATAGAAAGCAACTTGTATTTTGATTCGATTTGATTGATTGATTAACATACCAAGAACATGATACAAACAACAGGTTTATGAGCGTGCCATAAATTGGAAATATTTATTGTGTTTATAGGAACAGAACCAATTGGAAGATACTTCGCCTTATAATGGAGTCTCCAAGGTACAAGCAGAATTGCCAAAGCTGTCTTTACGAGACATGCCAGAAGAGAATTCGTTTTCCTCAATGTCCAGCCCAGCTCCAGGTCCTTTGAGTCCTCCGCTAGGACCGATGAATACAGATATCGGAGACCTTCATGATGTTCCTATCAATGATAATGCAGATACTTTGTCTACAAATATTATTCATTCGCGATCTTTGGAGGAGGTATATATTACAATGCACTAATATGTATAAATGTAACTTTAATACTGTGCTATTTATGTGTAGGTTCCAGCAGACACATCTGAAGTTTTCTTAAAGATTACTGTCACTTCGCCTCAAAAGATTGGCGAAGGAATGGGTGCCTATGTCGCATATAAAGTTGAAACGAGAACAAATATGCTTATTTTTAAGAAAAGAAACTTTAGCGTGATTCGGCGTTTCAGTGATTTCCTAGGTCTTCATGATAAATTGACAGAGAAATATCTTAGGAATGGCAGGATAATTCCACCAGCTCCAGAGAAAAGTGTAATTGGTAAGAATATAAAATTGATTTTTCTTAAGTTTATTCACGGTTATAAAAAAGTCGTTAAAAAACATAAATGATATCGCAACAGGAACGACGAAAATAAAAATGTCGGGGGACAAGAGTCAAGAACAAAATTCGAGCTCCACAGAATTTCTTGAACGACGTAGAGCAGCTCTCGAGAGATATTTGAATAGAACGGCTGCACATCCAGTTCTGAGTATTGATCCTGATTTCAGAGAATTTTTAGAAGCTGGTAAGTGATACTCACAAATAATAAGTTATATAAAATTTTTAACAAATTAAGTTCTTTTGATTAAATATCAGTGATTCTCTTTTTCTAGATGTAGAATTGCCTAAAGCTACCAATACATCTGCACTGAGTGGTAAAGGAGTAATGCGGCTTTTCAACAAAGTTGGGGAAACGGTTAATAAGATAACGTATAAAATGGACGAGAGCGATATGGTGAGATTTCTTCAATGTAACCCCATATTTTTTCTTGCATGTATTTCCTATGAAGTATCGTGAAACAATATTTTTGTTGCTTGCAATAGGAAGAGGGTAAGGTACGTTTACTTGAAATTGACGTATCGTCTTGTACATTGCTTATCACGTATTTTTAATTTAATCTACATTGCTGTCAATAGATTTAACATTATCACATAATATATTACAAAAATATATTACAATACTTTATCGACATATTTAAAAACAATGTATACCAATTGCTGTGTGAATGTATATATATAATTATTTATTATTTAGAAAGAAATAAGATGAATAAAGATTTGTATTTTTTGTAGTGGTTCGAAGAAAAAACGTCGCAAATAGATTCCCTTGATATTCAGCTACGCGCTTTACATTCCGCGGTCGATTCCTTAACAAATCAAAGAAGGGAATTGGCGAACTGTACTGGTGCTACAGCGAAGTCGATTGCTGTTCTTGGCCATGGCGAACCTGGAGCGTCTCTTGGCAGAGCTTTGGCACAATTAGCCGAAACTCTGGAGAAAGTTGAAGTGATCAGGAAGACGCAAAGCAACAGTGATCTCTATCAATTTGGAGAAATGTTGAGGGATTATGTCGCGCTCATTGGTGCAATCAAAGTTGGTATTTACCATTTACGATCGCATTTATATTGATGTTTTGTGTTCACTTGTGGTATTGTTTTGCAGGATGTTTTTCATGAGAGAGTGAAAGTCTTTCAAAATTGGCAACACGCTCAGTTGATGTTGAACAAGAAACGCGAGCAAAAAGCACGACTCGAGCAATCAGGCCGAACAGACAGGACGAGTCAAGCAGCTACTGAGGTCATAGAATGGGAAGCAAAGGTAGACAGAGGTCAGGAAGAATTTGACAATATCTCAAAGATGATAAAGGAGGAGGTCGAACGTTTCGAATTAGTCAGAGTGCAAGATTTCAAGAAACAGTTAATCGAATACCTAGAATCAATGCTACAACATCAGAATCAACTCATTAAATACTGGGAGAGTTTCTTACCCGAAGCACGAGCGGTGGCGTAAACATTCCGTTAAGAGAAACGATACGATAATAAGGCCGATACCTACCGTATAATACGAAAAAAAGTAACTTCTGTGATGTTCGTCGAGATAAGTTATTCGTTCCATATCAACGATTGTGGCATATTTTATTAAGAGAATTTGAGTTTTGTAGAAAGAGAATAGAGGTTTGCATTTGAAAAAAGAAGGAAAGTAAACGGGTGATTCAGGGGTACTGCCAAATTATTATGGAAGGAAAGGAAAAAATATATCCTAATTAGACGAACATAACTAGAAGTCTTAAACTTTTATTACATTTCAATTATTATCAATATATAATATATTAATTCTTTATGATTACTTTATATCCATATTATATTTACATTATACGTAACTGTACGTATGAAATATTATACAATTTGTTAAAGAATGTTATTAGATAATAAAGATCAATCATGGTTATATAAATATCTGCGTTCCATGCACTTGGTAAAATGAATACGAATATATTTATATCTATCCGTTTCTATACTAATGTAAATTAATTTTAATCTTGATTTGACTTCATCTTTTTTTAATATTTAGAACTAAAAAAAGATGAATAAATTAAACCGATATTAAAATCAATCTACATTGATAAAAACAAATAAAAGAAATGTAAAAAATGTGTGTTTGGTAAAACAATTTTGCAACGAGTGGAACGTTCAAGTTTTGAAGAACGCAAAATTTAAAAGTATGAAAATTGCAGTTAAAAGATCTAATTTGTTTACTTTTACTGAAGCGCAACTAGAAAAAAAGAGTATTTGTCACGCATTTTCCTCATATGCAACGCAATAAGTGTAGAAAGTACAACGTAGTGTAGCCAGAGAACAGACATTTAAATTTAAAGACAGATAACCTCAACGGTGCAACTGTGTCACGTATGTTAGGTTGTTTATGACGCATATAAGTCATTTGTCGATAATGACGAAGGATCGAACAGTGTAATATATCAATTAAAAATATTTTCTATAATGTCATCTAACAACGTCAAGGACGCTGAATTCCAGGCGTATAAAGACGATTCGCGAATTCCTTGCCAGTATGGTGCCAAGTGCTATCAAAAAAATCCGCAACATCACAGCAAGTACAAACACCCGCCAAAAGGAGAAACGGTAACGTATAATATTCAACTGACAAGTATGGTAAATTTGCAGTTGACACGCTAACATTAATTAATATTACAATTCAATAATTATTAATATTATCATTCAATTAACTTGCTCAATGATTAACTTATGGTAAATAAATGTCTTACATATTTTTTTAATCGGCATAACATTATTAATTTTTATTGTTTAAGATATGGAAGAATAATTAGAGACAATGAATTATTGTTTAAAATTTTGCTTTAAGCAATTCTGCTAGTTGTATTAATCGTCAACTAATTTAATCGCTCTAATGTGTACAGTTGTTCTTATTTATCTTCCTGATTTCTTAGGTAAAGGAGAAAACTGAGAAGATAATTACTGGAGAAAAGAGAAAACATCCTATTAAAGATGATAAAAAAATGCAATCAAAAAGTCCACGAAGAAAATTGCAGAAGACACTCGAGTCTTCTGAAAGAAATTTACATAGTTTTTTCTCAAATCCAAAAAGAAATGATGTCATTGTAGATAACAATAAAAATGACAATGAAACATTTAAAGAGAAAACAGAAGCATCAGATAAGAAAATATCATTGAATGGACATAATTCAGTTAATTCAATCGAAAACGATGCAACTGAGAATACATCAATACCTAATATGGATGTCAAAAGAATTATTATGGATCTATTTATGGTTGAGATGCCGAAAGATTTTTTTCAATTTTATGAATTTTGTAAAAGCGTATCAAAAGATAATCCTCTTTCGGCTTGTAAATACGTTCGCTTGAAACTTGTGGGTCCATATGATATTCTGGATGGTAAAATAAACATTTCTTCTAGTGAAAACGATAAGGAAAAATATTTGATACATTGGAGATATTATTACGATCCTCCAGAATTTCAGGTATATAAAATAAACTAGTATTTTATGAATACAATGTCAAATGACACTGTATTCATGATTATAACACTAAAGATGTAGATTTATACAATACAAGAATTATATCCACAGACTATTGTGAAATGTGATGATAAAGAAGGATTACATTATGGTTACTGGCGAGATGATGCAGTAGAAAAACCAGTATTTATAGCAAAGAATCGAGCAAATGTGAATAGCATATTTGAACCCGTTGCAGAAAATATATTTGGTGCTGTCGAGTAAGTAAATACGAGAATTTAAGAGATTTAATATATATAGATCTATATTTATACAAGCTTCTATGATCTTTTTTTTCCATTATTCTCTTATCTATATTATTTAAATTATAGTGCTTATTTGCAAAACAAAGTGAAAACGGCCAATCCTTTCGAGAAAACCAGCATAATACGTTTGCATTCGCATCTGAAGAACTTTGCCAAACAGCACAATATAACTTTGGACAAAAATACCGCAGATATGCGAGCGAGAGAGAAACGGGTTGTAACACGAACCTTTCATAAAGCTGGTATAGTCGTACCTTATGATAAGAAGACTCAATTGGGTTACAGAGATTTGGCAGTAACCGACAGTAAGTATAATTGCACTAATGGTATTTAATGCGCACACGTTCAAATTTTTTTATAAATAGATCGTTTATAAATTGTATTTTTCGGCTGCTTTATAAGAAATGTAAAAAAAAAGAATTGTAAAATCATATGTTATGAGACTCTTACAAATATGCTTATATTAAACATTAATACA